AGGCCAGGAGGGCCCGGCTTCAAAATAATGACTCAGATCCGTGGGCTCGGGCTAGGCTTAAGCTCGGGCCCAAACAGGCCTAAACGGACCTGGCCCACCCCAGGCCGCGGGTCATTTTTACGCTCTTAATAAGTGACATATCATTAAATAAAAAAAGTTTATAAATATATTTGTTTGTATAGTATTAGTTTTTCATAAGAGTACAAATGATAATTTGTAATCAATATTGAAACTTCAAAATTTTCCAAATTTGTTATAATTTTTTTCTTTTTCGATACTAGAATATTTTAAAATTAAAATTTAATGGTATATTTTTTAGGGATACATTTAGAATATTCAATTATTATTACTTTTACAAAAATAAATGAATATAATATCTAATTAGAAGATAAGAAAACTAAAGAAAATTGAAATATTTTATCAAAATTCATATTTGAAGTAATCTATAAAAATAAGATCTACAAAAATATGCCCGAAAAGGTGACATTATTAAAGAAGGTTATTACGTCAACCTTATCAGACACTTTTCTTGTGAACAAAATCAAAAAAGGATGTGAATATGAGATGATTTAGGGTCTACAAAAAAATTATGTGGAGTGTAGGGTATAGAATTACATAATACTTTTTTTTTTTAAATGTAAAAAAACTGAAAAAGAAAGATAATAATTACATAATTTGATGCTGATAAATATAAAATTACAAATGTGTTGTTAAAAATCTCAATGAGAGGCTAAAATATTTGATGCATTAAATGAGATCTTCACCATAATTATAATATCTGGATATGATCACTTTGTATATTTTGCTGGTTGTATGTAGGAATAATTTTGAAAACGTATATCAAAACACCATTAGCCAAAAAAAGTAAGCGTTAATTATGCTTACCATCTCAGTATTTTGACAGTCAATTTTGACGTCAAAAGTTTTAATAGTCAACTTATTATCCAATAGGTCTTATAATAATTAATGATATTTTTATCAAATATTATTAAAAAAAATCACTAATTGTTAATTTTCAATGATAATTTAAAAATTGTCATAAAAAATATCGCTAATTATAAGTTTTAGCGACAGTTTAAAAAAATCATCACAAAAAAATCACTAATTTTCAATTTTCAGCAATAGTTTAAAAAATTCATCACGGATGAACGTTACTAATTATAAATTTTAACGAGAGTTTATAAAAAAACGTGACCAAAAAAAGTCACTAATTATCAATTTTTAGCGACATATGCAAAAAATGGTCACACAAAATTATTTTTGAGTTACGATTTTATTATGACTTATTTTCAATTGAACTTGATAGGAATTAAGTCCAACTTTTAGGACCTATTAATAATTTATTTAAAAAAAAAAAAAAGTTAAAGTGAGATTTCAACAAAATTCAAGAAATAAAGAGAGAAAAACGCCTGAGCATTTTCAATCCTTTCATTAAATGTATATTAAATCAAGAAAAATATATTTTTGTATCAAATTAAAAATACATCAAATTTGAATTTGATAAAAATTTAAAACGATGAAGCATTGGAGATATATATATATATATATATATATTTTCTATAGAAGGGGAATTTTTTTAAAAACATTGATAAAAATTTAAATAAAGGGTCTGAATAGTTTATATCATATCAAATTTTTTATTTAAATTTGGAATTAAATTAATAAAAATAATGAAAGATTGGAGATGCTCCTTCTTTAGCTAATTTCAACTGCCTTATTAACATCATATTGACAGAAGGTCACACTGCAATTTAATTTAAAGTATAAAAAAATTAAGGATAACATACAATAAATTCTCTTAAATTATGACTTATTTGTACTTTACCCTCTTACAGAATTATCTTATTACAGTTAACCTTTTTTTGTTAGGATTGTATTAGAAATTTATAAAAAATCAGATCATGTGTAAAACATATGACACAATTATTTAATTTTTAAGACAACAATATCTGTTATTCATTGTGTTTAGAATAATAATATTTTTATTTGATGATTTTATTTGCACTTTTTCTCTTATCTTAGTTACAAATGCATACGTGATCACCAGATAAGGACATTGTTATCCTAAAAATTTAACAAATGTGTATCTAATTTTTTTTTTTTTATAAATTTTGTAACAAAATTCGAACAAAAATGATTTACTGTAAAATAGTTTATGAAAGTTAACAATTGAATTCAAATAAGCAAAGTACAAATAAATCATAATTTAAGGCAATTTATGTAATTTATCTAAAAATTATACGTGATAATTTAAAATAAAAGTACTATAATAAAATTTTAATAAAAATCTGAAGATGTTAATGGCCCTGTTTGGTAAAGCTGTGGGAAAATGCTTATAGCTTATACCTTAATAGCTTATAGCTTATAACTATGAACATAAGCTGATTTTTGACTTATAAATTAAGCTTCTCCTGCCCCACTAAAAAAATAAGCTGATTTCTGACTTACAAAAAGTTATAAGCTACATTGTTAAGTTAAACCAAATACATTAAAATAACTTAAATTAAGCTGAAAGCTGAAATAAGCTGAAAAAACACTGTACCAAACATGGCCAATGTATAGTAATTAATCCAAAAATAAATACCACTTGCTGTCTTATTTTCCATTTATATTTCGTTCTATGTAGACATGGCACTATTTAAGGCGAAGAAGAGGACGAGAAATTGAAACCCAAGAAAGTGAGTGAGAAAGAGAGAAATCAGAGGACGAGAAAGAGGCGTTGATCTTAAATTCATGCGTTTGTTTCTGATCTCTGTTTGACAATCTGTCTCTCTGTCTGCCCATTTTACGACGGAGAAAAAAGAGGAGAGAGAGAGAGAGAGGGAAGAAATACCCATCTGTTGTGTGTGTTCACACTTTGTCTATCTTCTGTTTGTCAGTCTCTGTGCTCCAGTTCAAAGACATAAACAGAGCAAAAAACATTTATTGCAGTGTTCACAGCAGTGGAGACACACGCGCGCGCGCGCGCACAAACACACACACACAGAGTTGAGGAGAAATGGGCATTTTATTTGACGATGTGGTATTGATAAAGGAAGCTGAGAACCCAGGTGACTACACTGTGATTACTGTGAATTGCCCAGACAAGACTGGGCTGGGTTGTGATTTGTGTAGGGTCATATTGCTGTTTGGTTTGAGCATTGCCAGAGGAGGTATGGATATACTTCTGTTCTTAATGTTTTAATATATATATATATATATAATATCTTCAAATTTTTGGTTAAGTTTTGAGATTTGTAACAAAACATAATGATGGGTTGTTTTCTATTTTGAGTTTCTTTGATGTTTTTAGTTTTCCTTGTGTGATCTGAGTTTCTTAAGGAAAAAAATGATGGATAATTATGATTTTTGTTGTTGTTGTTGTTGTTGTTGTTTTTTCTCTATTTTTTTTTTTTTTTCTTCCTTCAAATTGTTTGGTGTGCTTTGAGGTTCATTGCAGAATACGAGATTGGTATGTGAATTTTTTTTTTTTTTAATCATAAAATTGCTCAATATTCCGTGATTTTGTTTTGGTGAGATTCTTAGCAAAACAAAAGAGGAGGCATTCTAATTATTCTCTTCACCCCCTCTCCCCAGTTATTCTCTTCTCTCTCTTTTTATTTATTTATTTATATTTTGTTTCTTTTTTGGTTGAGTTTGAAGTTCAAAGAAAACTACAAGATGGGTCATTCTAATTCTTCATTTCTGACCAAATTTTCTTGAATTGAATTTACTGCGACTTAAGGATCTGTTTGGATGGATGTGGATTTCAAATCAAAGGATTTGAGGTTAAAAATATTGAGGACTTAGGTATTATAGGTGCAGAAAGAAGATAATTTGTGATAAATTTTTAGTAGGATTCTTGTAGCTAGAATTCTTAGCATAATTTCAAATAACTACTTTTATATAGGTATTTCAAATCCATTATAATAAATCTATGTAATTCAATTTTATCAAATCTAAATTTGAGCTGTTCTCCTTATATGATCAATGTTAAATCCATGCATTTCAAATCCACATCCATACATACAGACCCTAAGATTCATAGTGAGAGGAATGGAGATTCTTATTGTATTCTTTTTGTTTCTGTAGATGTTTCAACAGATGGTAAATGGTGTTACTTAGTTTTCTGGGTAGTTGGGAGGCCAACAACAAGGTGGGATTTATTAGAGAATAGACTATTGGAGGTGTGTCCTATGTGCTCTCCGGCCTTTTCGAAAATTTACTATTACAGACCAGAATTTCAGCAGCCCAAGCCACTAGATGTGTTCCTATTGAAGTTTTGGTGCTCCCACAATCGAAAGGACCTCTTACATGGTACTCTTTCTTCTTTTTTTTTTTTTTTGATTTGCTAAATGAAAAGTGATTAGGATATGGAATTAGTTATTTATCTGTATATTCTAGGTCAAGGTCTTATTGCATTTGATTTATTACTTAAATATGCTTCGATTAGTTTGACTGGAATATTGTTTTTGTGCATGGCCTTTGGATTGTGTTGTTTATATCTACTGAAAGGAATATGCTTTCTTCTTGCTCAAGTATTTGATAGATTCCACTTCTCTTCATCTTGGCTTTGGGGCTAGGGCTTGTTGAAATTAATGGCAAAATGAAAGGTTATTTTGCTAACATGAAAGTGAAAAGGGGATTCATATTAGGTCACATCAAGGTAGTTGAGTTGTATAGAATTGCTTCCAAACCAAAGTAACATGTAGAGTTCACTCTTTTAAATTCTATTAAAATTTTCCAGATATTATTGTATTTATTGGTGCATAAGGTTTTTTTTTTTTTAATATATCTTTTTTCTCCTTTTTCTTTGTTTGATTTTATTCTCTTTCTTGTAGATGTAACCAAGGTTTTGTGTGAACTTGAGCTCACCATAAAGAGGGTTAAGGTATCCACAGCCCCGGATGGGAGAGTGATGGATCTCTTCTTTGTCACTGACACCAGGTCCGTTTTTGTTGTTTTTTTATGGTGCTAAATTTTCTGCTTGTAACTTTTCTTTATGTTTGTTATATTGGGGTGAAAAAAATGGGTCCACAATCTCATAATTATAACTTCAGTTCTGAAGTAATGTACCTTTCCTTGTATTCTCAGTAACCACATGGAGTATTAATGAAAATCTATTAAAGTTATACGGGCATTTGCACACTCCACTAGAGTTTTGAAATTTGGCTCTAGAACTTTATCAAGGGGGCACACTATATACATAATGGTCGCAGGTTAGATCTGTATCCACTCCACGCCTCCCAAACCTGCTTTAATGGGGGGGCGAAACTCGTGTACTTTTTGGCATTTGCACGTGCTTTGCGTGCGAAATAGGATAAGCAGATATAGCAACACTTGTTAACTTAAAAAATTTCCTTTTGGTGCAAATTCCATTGTTAGCATTTTAAAATAATAATGGTTATAGCCTACTTGTGACAAGGGAGAGAGGACATTCAATAAATGAACCATTTTATCCTACATGGATTATCTGTTTCTTGATGATGGAGGCGCTAAATCAATCAGCCTTGTCATGGCATAACAAAAAGTGTTCTGAAGTGGGTGATCTTGTTCCATGAATTTATGAAATATTCTATGTCTCACCTTGCTAATTTCAATGAAATGAGAGTGACACTGCATATATCAGTTTGATTATCTGTATCAGATTGTGCCATTAGTGTCTTCTCTATGACTCTGTAGTAAGTATGACAGCAGCATGTATAGATGAAGCTATTGTTTCATTTGAGAGGTTTATGTGGTACATTTGGAGTCTATATCATGCACACTAGTTTTGAGCAAATTTATCTTTGAATTGAATTTTTGGAAAGCTTGTTTATCATGTTAGCCTTTATTCTAGTAGTATTGTCCTAAAATACAGGGCTGATGCTGCAAAATATAGAGTGATCCTTTTGCTATGCCGTAATAACTTTTGAAAGTCACTTGCACCAAACCAAACTAAGACGTACAAAAAAAAAAATTAAATTAAAGTCACTTTTCAAAAATATATATATATATATATTTTGATGGTCAATTTGTGGTTGTTAAATGGTTTGTCTTATCTGTATAAAATACTTAAATGAATGGCCACTTGAAATCATTCGTAACAGTAATCATTGTTTTTTACCTTTAAAACACACCTAAACTTCAGTTATGTTAGGGAGAGAATTGCATCTTCGCAAATGAGTTTGCACTAATTTGCCGCATCAACTAAAGTTTTCTTACTTTCATGTGGTGTGATGCATTAAATTCATTAGCAACGTAGATACCATCTAGTTTGCGTTTAATGCTTATAATTGTCAATGCTTATAATTGTCAATTGCGAAGTCTTTGGATAATTAATGTCTCTTGGGGTTCTATGTCATCTTCAGCTTCTAACTTTATTATGCTCTGAAAACGAACAACCACTTGGTTGTTTTATCATTGCTTCATAGAAAAACCAGAAAACTGTGTCAAAAAAAGTTTGAATTATTTGTCCAAACTTAATAAATTGGAGGTAAAATTGAAGTGCTGAAATTACATATGCATTGTTGAAACTATGTTCTTGTTGGTGAGTGTAAAAAAGAAAAAAAGGGTTATGCCATTTAATGATTACAAATTATTTTATACTAGATTAATTTTTAATGTGTTGTGGCTTTCATTAACGCCGTGCTTTACTTTGGCCCTTCTGTAGTAAGTTTCCATGTTTTGTCTTGTCTAGTTTACAGTTTTTGTCTTGTTTTATGTGGTGTATCTGAAATCACCATCATGCAAAGTTCAGATTCTTTATTAATTAACTGCAAGGTCAAAAAAACGGAACTATTTTTGTTATTCTAAATTATTTTTTTGTTCTTGCACTCTGTAAAAATAAGTGAAAAGTGCACTTTATTATCTTCATATTAATTTTCTTTTGAGAAAGTACACTCGATCGATCATGCATTTAGCTCCAATATCCTGAACCCGTGTAAATTTGCATGTTTTTTCTTAATCAGAGAACTTCTTCATACGAAGAAAAGACAGGAGGAAACGATTGGTCACTTGGAAGCTGTACTAGGCGATGCCATGATAAGTTGTGAGATTGAACTAGCTGGCTCAAAAGTTACTGCGTGCTCACAAGGGTCCTCATTTCTTACTTCAGCAATTACAGAAGACATGTTCTATTTAGAGCTGCCCAGCAAACAACCAAATGGTTTTTTCACTTCCAACTCCGCATCTGTTACAATGGATAATTCTCTTAGCCCCTCGCACACCCTCGTTCAAATCCTCTGCCAAGATCATAAAGGTCTCCTATACGACATCATGAGAACGCTAAAGGATTACAACATCCAGGTATACTACTTACATATTGGCAATAACTTTTCCTCCTTTTGATTGAAACATTTTTCACCTCTTTGAGTTTTCTTTTTGCATAACTGCTGGATAATGCTTTCCAATTATGGCTTTGTTTGGTTCAGCTATTTGTAACTTTCTTCTTCTTTTTTAAAATTTTGAGAATTTGTAGAGTTTTTTGTGTTTTTCTGTATGTTACTTGTGAGACAAAAATGGTTTTAATAAGGTGAAAAAAGTGATTATTTTGAAGTTAGGGGAGAAGTGCTTTTAGTTTCTTTTTTCTTATTATCAACTTTCACGTTGAGAAAAGTCACCAAATATATTTTGATGCTTTAGCATATGCTTTACTGTAGTTTCTGCTTTTAACTTTGAGAAAAATGACTTAAATAAGCTGAAAAGGGGGATTTTCTTCTGCTTTTAACTTTGAGAAAAATGACTTAAATAAGCTGAAAAGGGGGATTTTCTGGAAGTTTAGGGAGAAGTGCTTTTAGCAGCTTCTTTTTTTTTTTTTTTTCTTCTGATTATCAACTTTTAGGTTAAGAAAAATTGCACCAAACACGCTCCATTGTGATACTTTACCATATGTTATGAATGCAAAAGTTGCTAGGAGTGCGTCTATAAATATCAAGAAGCCCCAAATACATGACACGTGAACAAAATCCATAAAACAAACAAGCATGGTGTGCTAATGATGTGACTAGTTAAAATATTCCTTCTTTCAGGTTTCTTACGGGCGATTCTTTGCAAATCCAAAGGGGAACTGTGAGGTGGACTTGTTTATAATGCAAGTAGACGGGAAGAAGATAGTGGACCCCGAGAAGCTAAATTCATTACGCTCTCGTTTGAGAATGGAGCTCATTTGTCCTCTTAGAGTGGATGTATTGAGTCGAGGCCCTGACACTGAGCTCCTAGTAGCAAATCCTGTCGAGCTATCCGGCAGAGGCCGGCCACTTGTTTTTCATGACGTTACCATTGCTCTCAAGATTCTAGATATACACATATTTTCGGTAATACATATAAATTCATTTAGTAGGATCTCTCCAAGTGCATAAACTATATACATTTTTAAACTGAAGAGGTTTTCGCTGCTCTTCTTGTTCTCGTCTTTGACAGGTGGAAATAGCACGACACATGATTCATGATCGGGAATGGGAGGTATACAGGATCCTACTTGGTGATGGGGATGGTTTTCCTTTGCCCAGGATGGAGATCAAAGAGTATGTTAGAAAGAAGTTAATGGGTTGGGAATGAGGTTTCTACCTAGAATTAGCTAGGAGTTTCGTCGACCTCTGTACAGACCACATTTTTCTTTCTTTCTTTCTTTTCTCTTTTTGGGTTCCACATGAGTTTCTACTGCTACTAGCTACCAAGTGTAAATTATGTAACACAGTTTAGAAAATGGTAAGGTTTAATCCATCTTACATTAAAATCGATTCTATCTGGCTAAGCATTCTTGTTTTACTATTCTTTCTGTATTTTCCGTCTCCTTTTCATGTATTGTGTCCTCTACAACGAGGGATATCTGAATTGAGAATCCCTTCTGTCATCCAATTCTCCTTTGAATTTTCATCTGGAACCTTGGAAGCATTTGTGATTTAATTAACCACAAGTTTTTTTTCCCTAAATTGTCAACAATGGTTGTTGAAGTAGGCACCTTGGATGGAAAAAACCAACTTTTCTTCTTTGTCAGCAATACAAGAGAAGAAAGGAACTATAAATCCAAGTATTAGTTTCTTCTAATTTGACTGCAAAGGCTGCTGACCTTTCCATGGACGGTGTTTCAATGAAAACATGCAGAGTTAGAGAAAGAGCGAACAAAAAGATCAATCAAGAGTGAAAGAGGAAGAATTAAGGAGGGCATAACTGGACTAACATTGACTAATTTAAGAATAATTAATCTTATGCAAGCTTTTAATCTTGTGTAAGACCGGTTATTTTGTCCCATGGGTGACACGATTAATCCGGGATAACTTTCTTATGGCTTCCATGCCTCTCCAAAATTATGTGTCTTGGTATATCTCATCTTGGTATAATTCAATTCACCAATCAAACATAGCTTACAAATGTCACAGCGAAGCGAAAATGACTCTTATCTAGCACTTGAAAAAACGAAACAAATTTTATCTCTTGCTGAAGTAATTAACTTTTTAATTCTCTGAATATCATACACTGTTTTTAACAAAACTTGTTAATATTTGAACAATAAAACTGATGAGAGGCAAGATTATAAATGAACAAGCTAATGCTTTGTTCGAAATTCGTTTAACATCAGTTCATTATATAAATAAATTAATATTGGCTATATTTTAAAATTTGTTAATTTACTAAACATTGTTTCAAACTTAGCTCGATGAAGTAATATAAAAGCTACTCAAACGACTAAAATTTAATTAAAAATAAATAAATTAAATTTAAATACGTTTTTAAAACTTTGTAAAATTTTCTATATTCCATTGCTAAAGTATTACTTCATACCAAACAAAGAAGTATTGAGAAGTAGGGTGTTCAAATTACCCAGTAGGCTAAAGAACCGAACCAAACATACCTCTCTGGGTTGGGTTGGTTTGATTTTTGAGTGCATTGATTTGGTTTAATTTTTGAGTGCATTGGTTTGGTTATGAATCTTTAAACCATCAAATTGATAGGATTGGATTGATTCTTGATTTATGTCTTATTTAAATCGAACTTACTCGAGAATCGAACCTATTTAATTTTAAATTTTTTATTTATATTGACTTGAGTGCACTAATAATTTTTCACATACAAAAATTATTAAGTAAACGAAAGAAGTACTAAAAGTTTGAGTTAGATTTTGTAATTGATTTAAATTTGTATCGGTTATGTTTAAACTTGAGTTGAATTTAATTTGCATTGTATTAAATAATATTTTACTCTTTGGTTGTGATATGTTTAAGTATTAGACATTTTTATTTTAATTATATATTATTAATTGATTTACTTATTTTTAATATAATAAAATTATAATATTAAGGGCAAATAACAAACACTCCCCTCAAGGTTTGGTGAAAATACAGATTCCCCACTGAGATTTGAGAAATTACATCTCGTTTCCTGAGGTTTATATTTCCATAACAAATTACCCCCTGAGGTTTTTATTTTCATACAGATTCCTCCCTAATTTGTTATGCAAATTTGACTCTCAGGGGGCAATTTGTAATTTCTTAAATCTCGAGGAGAATCTGTATTTTCACTAAATCTCGAGAGGTGTTTGTAATCTGTCCTAATATTAACTTGAACTAACCTGCGCTACATTGAGGTAGATTAAATTGATGCTAGTGGTTGATTGGTTTAGTTTTTAAGCCCAAAAATGTAAAATCTATTATAATTAAATTTGGCACTGTTTCACATATGTTATATTTTAATATATTATTTTATTTAGATTACAAGCATCTTATTTGAATTATATCATCTCTTTATCATATCACTTCAAATATAATTTATATTTCATATTTTTTCATAAAAAAAAACTAAAAAAATATACTAGCACATGTCATACCCCTGTAAATTTAGAAGTTTTAGAAGTGGTTTGAGATATTTTAATTAGTGTACTTTTTGATTTTTTATAAATATATATATATATATATATAGAAAAGTAAAAGAAAATGATAAAAAAATAAAAATAAAAATAAAATATTGATAAATATTAATAAATATTAATTAATATGATCTAAATAAATATATATTAAAAAAAAAAATTAGTACATGCCAAACACCTAATATAACCAAACGGATAATGAATACGAACAGTGTCAGCAAAGCAACACACGCCCGCCAAGCCAAGCAACGTTTTGTGGCCTTCAAAGCAGCCTCTCATCTCTCTACCCCCACCCACGTGGTTGAAGTCGATGGATTCAACGGTCAGTTAACAGTTTCCTCTTTCTATTTCTCTTCCCTCGGACCCCACCTCATCACCTCCTCCAATACCGAAGGAGATCCTTTCGAATCTTCCATTTTTTTTTTTCATCTTCCTCTTCTTCTTCACGACCAATCTTCAATCCAATAAAAACTCTGACCCATATAGAAATTGAGGAAAAAAAAAATAACAGAGAAAGATATAATTGTAGTGAGAAACAGAGTATAGAATGAGATCTCTGAGCTCGCATTTTGTGCTGATCGATCTCCACACCTCATGGCACGCAGTTAACCAGATCCCAAATTCAACTTTCTCTTACCTCAAAAGTTCAGATTTTTCCTCTTCATTCTCATCGGCATTTCGTCGAACACGTCGTCGGCGAAATGGGATTTCTTCGTCTGCCTCTTCGGTACCATCAATTCGGCCCCCGGAGATCCGCAGGCCTCGTGATTGGTCCTCTCAGGGAAATGGGTCGTCGTCGGTTTCTCTGAATACCGCTTCGACTTCGCGATCGGAGGAAGTCTCGGAGCTGGACTTGTTTCTTGAATTAGTGCCTTTGAGGATGAAGGATGAGCTGTTTCGGCACCCAGAGATTGGCGACTTGATTGAAGTGGTTATGGATTTGGGTAGGCAGCCTCTTGCTCGGTTTCCTTCAGGCGATTGGATGATCTCTGAGCAGCCTGTAAAGCTTGAAGATCTCCTGCACTCAATTTCAAAGGTCATTCAAGTCAATTCTGCAAATAGTTTATTGAAAATTTTAATTTAAAGTTGGTATCAGATGAATAGTATATGTAAAACCACTAAGCTAAGTTTGGATTTTCTAGTCTTTGAGTATTTATAATTGGGTAGTCAATTTTAGTGCTCATGACTGATAGGGACCCAATAATATTAAAATAGTTTGAGATTAGTTTGAATACATATGCATGCTTTTGTAATCTTGTCATCTTAACAAGGTATAGAGTTTTAATGATTTTAATGCAAATAAGCTATACTTCTTCAGGTTGGCGATTTTTCGGATGACAATCGTTCAGGCATTGATAATTCCCTACATCGTATAAGTGCTATTCGAAACCGTAAAATGCAAATTATTGGCCTCACTTGCCGCGTAGGTCGAGCTGTATCTGGAAGTGCTGAAATCATACGTGACTTGGTTGAGGGGGGAGGTTCTATCTTGGTTATAGGTCCTCCAGGAGTCGGCAAAACAACCTTGATTAGGTATATAAAGTTCTAGCATTTATATCATATCACTGTTGAGATTCTCCATCAGTCATCAGTGGCGTGGGAGAGAAATTTGCATACAGCTACATAAATAAGCAATGATCATGTTACATGATATGTGTGGAATGTAGTCAACATATGGTGACTTTTAATTGTGTTCTTCCTTGATTTCCCTTAATATTTCATAACTTATATTTTAAAAGTAAGGATGAATTACAAATACACTCCTTAAAATTTGCTTAAAATACGAATTGTCCTGGTAGTTTAGAAAATTACAAATACCTCATTGTCATAATTTTTTATTTAATTGAATTAATTGAAAAAATAAAATTTCTAACTACTCTCCTATACAATGATAAAATTATTTGAATTATTAATTGAAATAAATTTATGACATCATTCAAAATTATTAATTGACATGGTGATTTATTAATAAAAAGAGACATTTGTTATGAATTAGAAAATTCAAGGGGCAGGATGTAATTTTCAAAACCATATGGGGCAAATTGTATTTTAAGCAAAATTCAGGGAGCATATTTGTAATTTACCCAAGTAATGTGAAATCAAAGAATGAGAAAGTCATATTCACAGATAGTTATGTTCATTGACCATCTTCAAACTTCTCAAAGAATTTAAATTAAGCCTCTTTCGGCTATTATTTTTCAACTATGTCTTGTGTACAATATTTATTCATTTGATGTAGCTTTATTTTTGCAGAGAAATAGCTAGGATGTTGGCAGACGAACACAAGAAACGTGTTGTGATTGTAGATACCTCAAATGAGATTGGAGGGGATGGAGATGTTCCTCATTATGGAATAGGTCATGCAAGAAGAATGCAAGTTCCAAATGTTAATATGCAACATAATGTGGGTGTTCAACTCAATCTTTTTTGCCTTATCTAATGCTACCTCGCATGGTTTGGATAAAATTTAACCTTTTTCCATTGGATATTTAATCTGTTGTTTTATTACCGAACAGGTAATGATTGAAGCAGTTGAAAACCACATGCCTGAATCCATTATAATTGATGAAATTGGAACTGAGCTTGAAGCTCTCGCAGCCAGTACAATTGCTCAGAGGGGAGTTCAACTTGTTGGAACAGCACATGGAATGACTATAGACAACATAATAAAAAATCCCTGCCTTCAAATACTTGTTGGTGGCATCGAGGTACGAAGAACCACCTCCTCTTCCAATCAATCTTTACTCTTGTGAATTATATGTATGCATGTTTCTGTATCCCAAATAATATTCTCCTGTTACCATTTTCTTCCCCCTATTTGGGGTGTATTATGTTAGCTTTTTGTGCAAATTGCAATTTCATCTAGATTGGTGGGTTGACCCATAAAATAAGTTCAGAGATCCTACTGCAGTTTATTGTGGTTTGGGATCTTATATACCCAGGCTTTGACTGTAGATTAATTGGAACTGGTTCATTTTATGTAGAGTGTGACTCTAGGTGATGATGAGGCGAAGAAACGGAAGGTGCAGAAGACAATTCTTGAAAGGAAAGGGCCTCCTACATTTACGTGTGCAATTGAGATAGTATCTAAAACTGAGTGTCGTGTTCATCATCGGTTGGATGCATCCGTAGATGCTATACTGGCAGGTATTCTATGTAACCAATGTAGCATAGTGTCTGCAAACTTGTTCTAAACTTGGAAGCGGCAATCACTTAATCCTGATTAGAAACTTTTCTGGATGATAGGAAAATCTCCCTTGTTTGAAGTCCGTCACATGGAATGTGAAGCTAATAGTTGTTTGGAGTCTACTCCAACACTCGAGAAGAACCGTAAAAAAGGATCTGAGCTGGATAAGGATGAAGACAGAATGTCTCAAATAGAGTCTGCTCAAGAAGACAGAGATTATTCTCAAATTAATTCCATGAAATTGAGCAGAAATATTACTGTTAGTAAGCGGAGGTCACCAGTTTATGTTTACACTTATAAGGTATTTGCTCATTGCTCAAGCTTCCATTCTCATTTGTTCATTTTCTATCTTTTTCCATCAATTTGTTATCCAAGGGTATATGTGGAAATGTTTAAATAACTTGGAAAATTTCATGTAGCATATATGTTAAATACTCGCACTACTTTATGCAACATATATTTTAGCACTAGATTTGTACTTAATTATCAAGGCTAAAAAATCAGATCACCGTGCTTGAAGCATGAGTGGTCACGGCCAACATTAAAATATCAACCTTAAGGCTGAAGAATTGAGTAGATTAAATATTTTGGTTGTATTTTAGATCCTTGAAGCTGATCTACTTCAAGTGGCAAGCGTAATGGGGATTGAGGATGAGATTGATATAACTGACGACATTGGAACAGCAGATGCTATTTTATCATCCAGCTCTGACATGAAGCAAAATCCCTGGATTCGTGGTGTAGCTAAATTTCACCAGTTGCCTGTTTTTGTTATCAAGGTCCTCCTCTCTTATTTTTTTGAAAATTACTAATTAGATATATTTATGATTTTTCAATCAGATATTAATGATCTGAATAAATGCAGTCGAATACCATGGCACAAATGGTAAAGGCAGTTCGGATGATTCTGGGAATGGATTCTTTTGTTTCTACATCAAAGCACGTACTCAAGAGTTCTTTTGACATTGAAATTGAAGATGATGCACCAAAGCGAAAACCGTCATTGGAGGAGATTGATGCCTTGGAGGTACTACACTATTCCATTTAATTATATATTCTTTGTATGTGTGTGTGTGTGTTTTGTTCGTTATTATTCAATTATCAAGGTAATCCTTTAAGTAGAATTAAGGTAGGTCAAATAATGTGGCTGAAAAATTTAGTGCAGTAGCAATTGTGATTGACAGAACAAATCTATGATTCCAGTTTTATTAAAAGTATATGCCATTGCCTGACAATTGCCAATGGTTGTGAACTAATTGTATACTGTTAAGCTTGAAACAACCCAAAGAATATTGTAGCATAGCATCTGTAGAAGTTAAAAGAGTTCATATACTTACATTTGGACCAATTATGTCCCAAATATTACTCCCTATTTATTCTCTCTCTATTGTTTTTCGTTTGAAATGTGTAAGGTAGGCATCTGGTTTCCATTTATTATTGCTCTTCATGTTGTGCCATTGTTGTTATAGTACTGAAATCACATGCTGGACTTAGTTGATTGGGTGATACTTTTGTGGACAAGAACTCGATTGCTTAGCAATAACATTACCTTTTATGATTCTTATCTTGACAGACATCTACTTTTGTTGGATATATCTGAAAGTTTTATAATATTTCATTTTGAAGCATCAAGCTATTTTTTTTTTACTTGTAGGGAAGTTAGATTTTATTCTTATTCAAATGGGATGATATTTAATGCTAAACAATGTAAATGGTGTCAGTTTAAATCTTGGTCTATATCTGCAATTTAATAACGAATAATGAGGCAACTTAGACATGGTTGACATTATCAGTTTTCCCTTCTTTTTTTTTCAACACAGTGTGAAATTAAATTTACAGATAGAAAACAATTTTCCAGACAAAATGAGTCGTAAAACCTGTGCCCAGCCATCTTTGGTTCCAAATATATTCATGCAGCCTACCCTACTTGTTGCAATAAGGCTTTGCCAAAGTCGAGATTTATGTGCATCTATTTTTCCGCCATATGATATCAATCCAAATTCTATGGTTCTTTGTTTCTCGGAGAAACACTATTAGGAAATGGCTGCTTTTGTGGCTTGTAATTAGACTACAGGCAAAGCAGTGAGGTGCAGATTATCTGCCCAGCCGTTGCCTGGTCCAATCATGTGACTTGCTCTACTTTGGATCCAATCTTGATTTTGGTTCTACCTTTAAGTACTTGATTTGCTTGTTTCAACAGTTAAGGAAAAAAGAAGAAAGAAAACATTTCTCAACAACAGAAGGGAAAACAGATGCAGATAGCCACTCTCTGAAGTTTTGGAAAGATCAAATTTATTCTTAGACATTTGCTTTGAATTTTAGGAGGGAATCTATATCAGTTCATTGGAATAGGTTGCGTTGGTTAGTTGTTTCCATTTCATATTGGAGTGTCTACATATATATGTATATATGTACAGGGAATCAAGCTGCTCTATGCATCTTCCATTCTAAACTACATCTAGTCAGTGTTATTGAGCTCATTCGTCTGGTTATTCTGTTTTTAGATCATTCTGCATAGGACTAAGGACCAATCTCTAGCTAAAGCAGCTCTTTAAGGGTAATATGAAGAGCATGGACACATGACATGACACAGACACACAAATTTGATCTAGTTTGCAGAACATGACACATGGGGGACATGTGCTAAACATTTTATCTTATATATCGTATAATTGAATATTATATATTTATTCTATGTCAAATATTTGTTCTCATCAAACTCATTATCATTAACCTTGGGTATGCTATTCTAATGGAAAAAATAAACATAAAATATATGAGATACAACGTGTTCCTAATGTGTCTTTAGTGTGTTCCCAATGTGTCCATCACATGTACAACTGAAAAAAAGATGGGATACTTCCTCCAGCATGTCCAATGCCTGTCTGTGTCCGACCCTTATCAAGCACTAATACATGACCTCCGGAGAGGAGAGGTGTTCGTGCTTCATAGTCTGGATGACTCGTGGTTTTGGTTTTACCTTCGAGTACTTGATTTGCTCATTTCATGTTTGTTTTACCTTTTCCTCGTAAATTCTATCCGAAACTGTTATAATACATCATTGACTTCACTTTCTGCAAGACTGACCTTTTTCCTCTTACGGTTCCCTACAGGAGGTCCGACTTGCAATTGAATATATTGTGATCCCCGGGGGAGAGCCTGTTGAGCTTCTCCCCAGACGCTCCGAGATAATTGCCAGACAACTTGAGCTTGTGGAAAGTTATCAGCTTGCTGCAGAGAATTCGGGTACTGAGCTGAACCCCAGGTTGCAGATCCTTCCACAGAAGTTAACGAAGGTCTCCATAAAACACTCTAAATCTAGTTCAAATTTACAGAAGGAAATGAGGTTTAATTCGGTAACTAGTGCCGATGGAGGAGCTAGTGTTAGTCGGCTGCCGCTTTTGCCAGAATAATTTCAATTATATCTCCAATTGTAACATATTTCAACCCTTGGTTGATACATCATACGTGTCCCTTACTATGTACAGTCTTGTAAATCATGTATATCTCTGGTCATGTTATATCATTTAACATTGTCAAATACTTATGTAATTTTACTTCATTGTTGCATTTCTTGTTCAATGAAAAAATAAGTCTTTTTTGGAAAGAAAATGTTCATAATCAATTTGGGCTTGCAAGGATTGTTACTCCTGGTTTAGCTTGACATGTTTAATTTTGAAATATAAGTTGAGCGGCAATAATGCATCATGATTGATATGTTCAAGTTAAAAATATTGAGTGTAACAGTGACACCAACTTATGTAGTGTCGTCGGCCAATAAAGCGGCAAATACATTAAGTGGTCAATTCTTGTATCTTACTAACTCAATGGTGTTGTGGTTCCTACTTCATATCAACGATGATCATTGAATGGTGATACCATTACCTCCAATATTTACTCCTACAACTCTATATTCACTAAAATTTATGTTTCATCCACTAGAGTGAACCTTCTATGTGATCCACAACAGAAAAAAGAAAGAAAGAAAAAAGAGGGAAAGAATCAGGAAATAAGAACACAAATATAGTCAAGGCAAGTAGCAAATATGGCTATTATTAATGTGTCCTTCCTAGCTGCAATGGACAACGAAAATAACTTTCCAATTTCACATTCCTCTCTGTTGAACTCACTAATAAAGGTGTACATTTGTAGCTGGAAGATGGTATTTTCAAGTATCATTTTGAACAATGTAACAACTACGACACAACCATCTATTCTTTCTCGTACAAATAATGAAATCAATACTAAGAAGAAAGGCAAGGTTAGATAAGGGGATTACGTCCACTCCCTATTTGAGATTAGGACAAATTTAAAACCTTGTCAAGTCGCTTTTATCAAAGGACTAGCTCTCTCTTTAGTGCACCATCTCCAAGGGAGATGCTAGGAAAAGTGTAGACACCTCATTTTTGATCGCCCGTAAGACTTGGGCGCTTTGTCCTGTGCACTCGATGATAAAAGTTACATTGTGTGTGATCCAAATGCTCAACAAAGGACTCCAAGGTCGAGCTTTGAAACAGTCCCAACACCTTCCTATTTACCTCGTTTATACTTCAGAGGTTCCTTTTTGAACATTATGCCACCCTACACTGAGCTTGAAATAGAGAAATAGGGGAGTACATTGGGGCCCGGCCGTACCTTGGTGGCAATAAACACTGTTCTGGGCGGGAGCCCGCTAGCTGTCTATTTTTGAAGATATTTTCGTCCTATTTTGCTCAAATTCTATAAATACAAGCATATATCTTTGTTTCGAGGGTTGAACAATTTCCAAAGAGCCTATACACTTACTTGAGAACTCCTCCTTGTGCAAGCCACCTTTGAGCAAGCTTGCCATCTTTGAACTATATCTATACACCATACACACCCTCACACCTTAACCTTGGAGCCTTGGTTGAGCCTTGAGAATTACAATTCAAGCTTGAGAGTGTGTTTGGACCAAGTTTGATCCACAACAATAGCTTGTCCTCTTTAAGAGGTATAAGCTTACCATCTTTTTTTTTGCTTTCATTTCTGTCTCCTACTATCGATTTCTTGTATCTTTGTATTGATTTGAATCCATTTCAAGTGTTAGAACTTGGGTTTGGATAGCTGCTAAAGGTAGAAGGGTTTAATATCCTTTCTTGCACCTTACTTCATAGCTCACACTCTTATCTTTACACTCATTTTTTTGAGTCTTCAAACTGCTTTTTAGAGTTCAAAAAAGGCTAAAAAACATGGCTTGAAGTCTCACAAATGGAGGGGCTAGCTACCTCTCTTTGCTTTTGTTCACTAGCCTTGTGATTCTTTGCTATTTCCTATCTTTTTCGTACTCTTTAAACATCATTGTAGTCACTGGTTTTTACATATTATGGGCTGTTTAGACTTCTTTTAATTCATTTAATTGGTTCATGCTTTGAATAATTTGCCTATCATGTTGTAAGTCCTCATGGCTTTGCTTGTTTAGGCCTTAGACATTAAGCCATTTGAGTTAATACCTTTTCTTTGCTTGGTTTTCGTATTAAGAGTCTCATTCTTCAAATCAATCTCGCAATCATGTTTGCAACCTCCCTCTTTTCGTCTTTTCTTTTGTTTGAGAGTTGTCTCAAAAGATTGATGGTTATTCAAGGCATGGGAAAGAGACCTATGCTTAATGGCTTAATCTCTTTGGAGGTTCATCGTCAAGGCATAGTCCCCCATTCATGCCTTGGATCACTTCTCGTTTGACATTTCTTCTCATGTAGTGGACTCAACCATCACTTTGGACAAATTGATTTAAAAAATGGAAATGACTAATAAAATGGGCTTAAAACCAATGAAACCGACGTAAAGAAAATGAGTAAGGTTGCTTGGATTCGGCCGGACGTTATGCCGAGTCCATAGTGTTAGGAGTCGTCACGCACCAATCCATGATGTGTTGATGAAACTTGAAGCGTCTCTATCTTCCTCTTTGAGCTCACTTCATGATAGGAGGGAGGAGTGATCATTCATTACATTTATTGATTTTTGTCCAATTGTCTCGGAAATCATCAAGCGATCAACTTGCTTATTGATAGTTTTGGAACCTATTTAGTTCTTCTCTTGAGCCTCTCCATGACAGAGAAGAGCATAAGGGACAAATAGAGCTCAGAAAGGCTTTGTCCGCACTGTTTTCACCTCAGAGCACAAAACTAGGGTTTTGCATGAAATCAGGACACAACCGACCTTGTTTGGGCCCGGCCGAGCCTCATTGGGGGCCGGTTGGGCTCCAATGTTTGGTAAACAGTGTATTTTTGCAAAACAAATGGTAGTGGCTGAAGGTGAAACAAGGCAAATTCCAGAAAGGCAAACAAAGCTGCTTATGAAAACAGTCACGTGCATACAATCCGTGTGCATCTTTGTTTATCAATGATGTAAATTAATGTTCCCATTATTGTTGTAATTAATTAATTACTGTTGTAATTAACATTGTTGTAATTATCATTAATGTTTATTCGTAATTATCATAATTAGTTAACCTAGCTAGTTAGTTTTATTGTTCATCATTGTTGTAATAAATTAGATAACTAGTTAGTTATTCAGTATTCATTAGCTCAATTCCTTCATTTGGTTTTGTAATAGCTAGTTTATTTCGGTCACTTGGACATTCATTCGGACCCTGTTGCATGAGGGCAAAAAGTGTAATAAGTGTGTATGTCTTCTAACCCCCATTTATTTCTCCCTTTTATTTCTTTGCTTATGATGGTAGAATAAAGCATCATGTTTTTATTAGCATTTTCCATGTCCAAAGTATCCATTTGTCTTGCACTTGAAAATCATGCTTCTCGACTTGTAATACTTGTATTTTGCACACGTCGGCTTGAGAAGCCTTTTGATCAAGATGTAATTTGTACTTTACTTCATTTGTAACTAAGTTGTAACCCATGTGAAGATGTTTGCTATCTCATTTGACTTATGCACAGCTCTTATGGACTAATCTGATTTGTATGTATTGCTTCCGTACTTGTGAGCCCCATATATTTATACTCTGTTTGTGTGTGAATTTTGAAAGTTGGCCTTCGGTAAATCTCGGATTACTGGCCATCACGGCACCATCCTACTATGGGCGGTTTGGGGTCGTGACAGAAATAGTCCCAACACCTTCCCATTTACCTTGTTTATACTTCAGAGGTCCCTTTTTGAACATTATGCCACCCTACACTGAGCTTGAAATAGAGAAACAGGGGAGTACATTGGGGCTCGGCCGTACCTTGGTGGCAATAAACACTATTCTGGGCGGGAGCCCGCTAGCTGTCTATTTTTGAAGATATTTCCGTCCTATTTTGCTCAAATTCTATAAATACGAGCATATATCTTTGTTTCGAGGGTTGAACAATTTCCAAAGAGCCTATACACTTACTTGAGAGCTCCTCCTTGTGCAAGCCACCTTTAAGCAAGCTTGCCATCTTTGAACTATATCTATACACCATACACACTGTCACACCTTAACCTTGGAGCATTGGTTGAGCCTTGAGAATTACAATTCAAGCTTGAGAGTGTGTTTGGACCAAGTTTGATCCACAACAATAGCTTGTCCTCTTTAAGAGGTATAAGCTTACCATCTTTTTTTTTGCTTTCATTTCTGTCTCCTACTATCGATTTCTTGTATCTTTGTATTGATTTGAATCCATTTCAAGTGTTAGAACTTGGGTTTGGATAGCTGCTAAAGGTAGAAGGGTTTAATATCCTTTCTTGCACCTTACTTCATAGCTCACACTCTTATCTTTACACTCATTTTTTTGAGTCTTCAAACTGCTTTTTAGAGTTCAAAAAAGGCTAAAAAACAGGGTTTGAAGTCTCACAAATGGAGGGGCTAGCTACCACTCTTTGCTTTTGTTCACTAGCCTTGTGATTCTTTGCTATTTCCTATCTTTTTCGTACTCTTTAAACATCATTGTAGTCACTGATTTTTACATATTAGGGGTTGTTTAGACTTGTTTTAATTCATTTAATTGGTTCATGCTTTGAATACTTTGCCTATCATGTTGTAAGTCCTCATGGCTTTGCTTGTTTAGGCCTTAGACATCAAGCCATTTGAGTTAATACCTTTTCTTTGCTTGGTTCATATTAAGAGTCTCATTCTTCAAATCAATCTCGCAATCATGTCTGCAACCTCCCTCTTTTCGTCTTTTCTTTTGTTTGAGAGTTGTCTCAAAAGATTGATGGTTATTCAAGGCATGGGAAAGAGACCTATGCTTAATGGCTTAATCTCTTTGGAGGTTCATCGTCAAGGCATAGTCCCCTTTTCATGCCTTGGATCACTTTTCGTTTAACATTTCTTCTCATGTAGTGGACTCAACCATAACTTTGGACAAATTGATTAAAAAAATGGAAAGGACTAATAAAATGGGCTTAAAACTAATGAAACCGACGTAAAGAAAATGAGTAAGGTTGCTTGGATTCGGCCGAATGTTATGCCGAGTCCATAGTGTTAGGAGTCGTCACGTACCAATTCATGATGTGTTGATGAAACTTGAAGCGCCTTTATCTTTCTTTTTGAGCTCACTTCATGATAGGAGGGAGGACTGATCATTCATTGCATTTATTGATTTTTGTCCAATTGTCTCTGAAATCATCAAGCGATCAACTTGCTTATTGATAGTTTTGGAACCTATT